TGGGTCTCCATATGTCAGTTCTGATTCTGGTTACTGTACCTCCATGGTAGTATAAAAGCATGTATCATACTCTGTCATTCCTCAGTACGAACATTGACGTAGTTCCTACTCCCTCTGCCTCTGTCTTCTGCCTGTCAGAGTTACCTCCAACTGTCCATCTGTACTCCCCCTCTGAAATATGAGGGCTGAGATCATGCAAGGGGGTAGCACATGAGCTAAACCTGACACCCTTACCTTGGCAGATTTCGTTCCTACCAACACTCTGCCAGTCAGAGTTCTGCTCTTTCCCATTGGACTTGCTTCTGAACCTCTCCCTGGACCTCATCCAGCATCAGGGTTGGTCAGAGTAGGCCCAGACTTGACAATGGTGGAGATATGACAAAAACCAGAATGCCATACTTGAGCACTAAAAACCTTTGATGGGCACTTGAGTTGCTTCCTCTTTTCTCTTTAGCACTGATGACTCATTCTTGTGCAAAGGATGATTGCTCACATCCAGCAGTCTTTCTATGCATGAGGGCTTTAGTCTTCATCTGCATGGCATGGTGCACAACTTGTCAATGAGTTAGGCAGAGTCAGCTGTAACCATGTCCACAACACCTTTGGTGTGGGACACCAAGTGGAATTGGGATATGAGAGGAGACCACTCAGCAAAGTAATTGCCAAAGTGGTGGAATTCTTTACAGGGGTAGCTGTACATGGGCAGCAATACTTCATTGGCTTTTCTGCTGACCCGTTGAATCAGACATGGTGGCATTTCTCTACTACTTCTGATCAATTCCCACCATCATCCCACTGCAGAACAAGCTGCACTACATGCCATGTGCACTGAAGGCTCGAAGGATATCGATCAGGAGCTCTCATATCTCGTCCAAGCTAATCTTGCAGTCACAGGAGAGGATGACTATCATTGGAAGCCATAACCAGATTCAAGGCTTGCATTAGAGGTTGCATGAGTGGAGTCAGTGTCTAAGGTGTGGGAATGAGCATACACCATTTGTAGACCTGTATGCACCCTCTGTCATTGGTTTCATTTGGAACCAGTAATGGCATGAGATCAGTACCATTCAGGTAGCTAGTCTATTATACATGGCCCAATGCCAATCCTTTGACCACCTCTAGTAGGGGCCTGGGGTGGAAACATGGCATGGCAGATCTACTGCCCTTTCCCACAGGTGTCCATCCATTGCTGCCTCCAGTAACATAGGCTGGTCACTAATCAAGAGCTGAATGTTGCTGGTGGTGCTGGGAATTGTTAAGACCTCCATCCAGAATGAGTGAACATGGGCAACCATCTTCTGTACTGTATTCCTAAACCCACAATACAACAACATTCTCATTTGTGATCTAGCCAGTGTCACACACCAAAGGTGTTGTGGACATGGTTACAGCTGACTCTGCCTAACTTGTTGACAAGTTGCATGCCATGCCAAGCAGATGAAGACTAAAGCCCTCATGCATAAAAGGACTGCTGGATGTTAGCAGTCATCCTTTTCACAAGAATGAGTTGTCAGTGCTAGAGAGAAAAGAGGAAGTGAGTCAAGTGCCCATCAAAAGTTTTTAGCACTCATGTACAGCATTCCAGTTTTTCATCATATCTCCACCATTTCCAAAGATATTGACTCTGTTCTCATACTCCCTTAAAGTGCTCAGCCATGTGATTCTGCCTTCTGAGTTTGGAAAGGATCCCCACACCCTACACATTTCTACAGCACTCACACTGTCAGATGCTCATTTTCACTAAGTCCATCAGATATGGCTGCCACTTCATCAATCATCTCACTTGTCTCCTTTGCCAAAGACAGTGGCTATGTATATCTGCCAGGTGTTCCCACCAGCTTCCATCCTGAAGCCCCCTGGTGCATTCTATTGTCATCAGCCCCATCCCATCCCATGCAGCTTGGTCAGCAAGTTCTCCTTGTTAGTATGACCTCCAGAAGGACATTCTTTGGTTGCCTCAGGTCAGTCACTCAGTTACAAAGGTCTTATGTGGTTGTTTTGGTCTCCCCACTTGATGAAGCATATGGATCCTTCCTCCCTGCTCCCTGCAATGTCTTTATTCCAATCTTGTCCATCACTCTCCCCACATTGCAACAGCTGCAGTATAGTCTACTGTTCTCCAGCCTCCCTGATCACATCCATGACATGTATGACATGCATCTTGCCTTTTTACTGCAAGACCCAGCAGAAGATGTCCCCCCTTTTCCCTCTCCTCCATCAGAGCCCTGTTCATGAAGCTTTTATTAACTTTGCTGAGAGGATGAATGGGTGGGAGACCTGATCACCTATGCTCCTGTTTCCCCAAAGACCCCCAATGCCCTAGCCCTTTGACACCTGACTCATGCCATCCTTCTCTGGAATTAATACTTCCCTATCTGGAAACACTGTCCATCTGTCATCCCATCTTTGGATCTAGTGATGTCTCTGCTGAGATCTAACATGCATTGCCACCCCCTATGTGATACCAGTGTGCTTACTCATGTTTTGACTCATACTGTGATGTTTTGACTGTCCTTGACTCATTTGTTGACAATACTTACCAATCCTCTTTGCTTGCTTACTTTTCATTTCTTGCTTACTCATCATGATTACTCATTGCTTACAGTCCTTATTCATTACTTACCAAGCATTTGTGCCTCATTTGTCATAAGCTGCACTCCCCCCACAGTATATAAACCCCCTGTACTCAGTAATCAGTTCTGTTATGCCTGTGTCAGGGGTCTTTCCTTTTTTGACTTCTCATGGTCATGTGTGTCACATGCCTCATCATGTCCCTAATAACTGTTGTCATCTTGGGCATGTCTATGCTCAAAGGACAGCTTGGATCTCCAGTGGTCATGGTATTTCCAATACCCTTTAATGCTGCACACCTGTAGGTGATCCAGTGATCCACCTCCATCTCTGATGAATGGTCAATTTCATACTTTGCCTCTGACTCATATTTATTGCTCTGATCATTTGCTTCTTGCTCTGGTGTCAGGCCCCTCACTGCACCTTGATTGCACAGCTGGTATGGCCCTTTTTCCCTGTACTGCCCTTACCATATGACACCATATGACTCTTTCTTATTTCATTGTTTACTGCTGTGGATACTTACTGTCACCTTGGTGTGACTTGTACGGTACTCTTGTCCTGAGTTATTTATACAGCTGTACCATACTTTGTATCCTCAGTTTTTTGATAGCTTGCAACTCAGCTTCATCCCTCTGCTTTCATCCTTGTTCCCTTCCCCATCGTGATCTCAGAAGAACTCACCAGTGGAAGCAAACCTTTGTCAGACCTTCACAGTAACTGAGCCATAGGGATTATGACAAGTTTGGCCCATAGACTCCCCCTTGCACCATTTGTGAGTAGTCCATTTGACAAAGTCACTTGGCTCAGGCATAACAAGTTCAGTCCATCTCAGTCATAACTCATCATTGACAGTTGAGGCTCATTTGGAAGGGTCTATCTGTCATCATCTATATCCTTGGTAGTTGAGGCTCATTCAGAAGGGTCTATCTACCACCATTCATCTGAGGTGTCACCTGTGCTTAGTCAGCACATTTGATTAGTCATTGCTCCACTCTTGCATAACTCAACATCAACTTGCACCAGAACTCCTTTCAGCTGAATACCTTTGCTCTATCCAGCACCCCCTATCAAGTCCATATTCATTCATCTACTCCTGTGTAACTCAATGTTGACTTGTGCCAGGAGCATGTCTCATTGAGGATCCTTACTCTAGCCAGCATCCCCCTCACAATCATTACTCTTTCATCTTCTCCTGCATAACTTGTCGATGACTTGCACTAGGAGCACCTGCCATTGAAACTCCCCCCCACATTAGATTTTTCTGCCCTCCAGGTTCCATGGAGGTAAACCACCACTCACTCTTATTTGTCATTGGTGTTGGATTTGTTTGGTTTACACCAGCTTTCCACACTTTGACTCACACTGGCCCATCCTGCCCTGGCACTATTGGGATGTTGCTTAGTACTCATCCAGTGTGGGACACAACTTCTGGGAAGTGTGTGACTAGAGGAAAGCTGAAGGGAGAATTCCCTAGGATTGACCTGAGGGGTGCTGCATGGAAGGAGAAGTCAAGGATTACCCTAGAAGGGGTGGGGTAATACATGCAAGGGTTACAGAATTTAATCCTGGAGGGATGTGGGCATGAAAGGAACAGTGAGATGGGTTATGAAATTCCAAGAAGCCGATTTGCAATGAGAAGAGTGTATTCAAGGTGAGAGGGATACAGGGTAAGGAGTGCAGGATTGGGAGACACAAGAGACATGAAGACCACTGGAGACACTGTAGATGCTGTAGACTCAATATATGCACTTAGACTCTGAGAACTCTCAAACTTGTGGAACACACACAGATAGCAACTCTAAAGGTGGGTGGTTTATTTCCAACATTATGACAGAATTATATAGTACAAGGGAAGTAGGTATGAGTCAGAGTAAGGTGGGGCAGAAAAACTAAAAATCTGGAAAATACAGGAAAGGACAACAGATGTCAGCAAATTACAGATGCACATGAAATAGTCTGGCAAGTAGTAGATGAGAGAAAAAATGGGTCAACAGTAAGGGGTATCTTCCAACAGAACTAGGGTATGTGTACAAGTGAGAGGGGGAAGCACAGGAGGGCAGAGTGTACTGGCACAAGGTCCAGCTTGTGGAATTTAGGGAAATAGGGATAACCGGAGTTTTTTAGAGGCAACTGGCATGAATGAGTGGTGACATGGGTGGGCAGTGGTGCAGCTACTGAATTCCAGATGACTCTGGGTGAATGCAGAATTTCTGGATCAGCTTTATTGATAACTGGGCAACATGCTGAAGGTTGGGAGAAATTCTGAAGGCAACAGGGGTTGGGAGGAAACACAAGGTCACAAGTGGGAAAAATCCCAAAATGGGTTTGTCACAGAGGCTTGCAGAATTTAGTGACAGATTTGTGTTCCAGCCTCAGGGAGTATACAACTCCCTACACTGCCAGTCATTCCTGATAATGGTGCCAGAATGCCTGACCTTGCACCTACCACAATAGTTCAGGAGGTCGCCATCAATCCTGATATCCTCCACAATCTCCCAGGTGAGTTGCTTTCTCTGGCTGTTAACAGCCTGCTGGCCACCAGCCTTATTGCAGGACCATCTGTTGATGTCAGGGTGACTGGCCAGATGCCAATATATTTGTCTTTAGGGACAGCTGCCAATGATGCAAATGAGGATGATGCTGATGATGAAGGTGTTGCTACATGGATGGATGTTGATTAACATTTCCTTTTTGTCTATTATACCATACCCCTGTTTGGCTATCCCTGTACCTTTGAATGAGCATTCCTGCCTATCCTTCCTTTAAATAATGCCAGTCAATGTGAATCCAGTCCCCCAGAATGTGTTACGCCTCCATCAGGGGTCTTACCTTTTTTGACTTCTCACAGTCACATGCATCACATGCCTCGTCACATCCCTCATAACTGTTGCCATCCTAGGGGCTTGAATGCTCCAGGGATCATTTGGATCTCCTGCTGTCACAGTATTTCCAATACCTGTCAAAACTGCACCTTTGGGATGATCTGGTATTCCACCACCCTCTCTGATGGACAACATGTTTCTTTCTTGTTCTGCTCAACTCGTTCTGACTTGTTTATATTGCTTACTTGTTGTACTATAGCTCTGGTGTCAGGCTCCTTGCTGCACATTGATTGCACAGCTGGTACAGCCTTCATCTCCCTGCCTACCCCCATCATATGACACTGTATGACTCCCTTTGATTTATCTATTTGTCTGATTGTTCTGTTGATTACTGTGGATATGCATCACCTCACGACTGGTATGGTACTTGTACTTAGGGGTATATAAACCCACATACTTTACCTTGTATCCTCAGTTTTTTGATAGCTGGCAACTCAGCTAAGTTCCTTCTCTTTCATCCTTGTTCTCTCTCTGTGTGAACCACCCCAGAGGACTCGCCAGTAGACTGAACCTCTGTCGGACTTCAGAGATAACTGAGCCATAGGGGTCACAATATGTTTGGCCCATAGACTCCCCCTCGTGTGCTTCATGCCTATTCCATTTGAAGAAGTCAGCACACTTGGGCATAACAAAATCAAAAAACTCTATGCAGCTTTTGGGACCCATTGACCTCTTTGCAAAAGTCTACTTGTCCCTGGTTACTGAACTTCAACAAACCAACCCTTTCAAGCACAAGGCTTGTCACTCTCCCTATGCATAAAGACTGACTTGCCTTCGTCCCACTTCTTGGGCAAACAATATCGAGAAGCATCCCTCTACCCTCAATCAAATCCATTGCTCTACAGGCAGCCACTAGGCTTTAATAGATCGCCTCCCTAGAGTCAGTGCTCGTGTCTCCCTACATGTAAAGTCACCTGTGCACAACCCCTCTATGCTGACAGGTTTCTTTTGAGAAATAATTCCTCCCTCAGCCTTTGTTATCACTTTCTGTTAAAGTGTCTAACCTGCAGAAATCGAGACCTCCAGTCCCTCCTCAACCTAACCCCCTTGGACTTGGAAGGAATCCACCCTTACCTCCAATTCCTTTAGGACGACTCAGTCCCTTGGTCACTGCAACAAATCCCCAGTTATCTTATCTATCCCAGTTTAGGGATTTGGAAGTCATGCTTAGTTCAGAAGAAGATGATCAGAAGTCTGAGACTTCTTTTGGATCAGTCCTCAAAGAAGACCAAGAAGCTCGCAATCAAGATATGTCCATGACAATTGGTCATGGAGATTCAGTTCCTGAGATGCCCTCAAGGACCTTCTTGGAAGAGGAACTGAGAAACAGGTTGGAAGAACAAAGAGTTGCTATGGCAGAGGAGCTCTGCTGGGCTATGCATGCAAGTACTAGCGACCTGTTCCCAACAGGTATGCCTACAGACTCAGCACTGCAAGAATGGTATCATCAGAACTTCAGAAAGGTAATTCCCCCAGAGGGCCCCATTGGTGGGTCCAGTAAGGGTAAGGCCCCAGCCAATGACAATGACTTGTATGCAAGCTGCCCACCCAACAGAGGTTGGGAGTTTAATGTCAGGCATCCCAGTGAATATGATGGAAGCCACAATGGTCTCCAGACCTGGCTCACACAGGTCGAAGGATATTTGAACCTGAACAAGCATGTTTACAATTCAGAGTCACTCAAGATTTCATTCATGCTCACTTACATGACCAAAGGCGCAGCTGTGTCATTCGCCAAGAACTACCAAAATGAAAACAAGATGCTCAACAGGACAATCTACTTCACCAACACCTTTCAAAGGTTCATTGAAAGGCTGAAGGCAACCTTCAAGTCAGGTGATCAAACTGCCCTTGCCATCTTGCATCTCTCAGATATCCAACAAGGCAAATGAGAACTTGAGGCCCATATTGCTGAATTTATGGGGCTTGTTAACAAGGCTCAACTCAAAGAAGAATCACATGAAGCAGGGATTTTCTTTGGGAAAGGATTGCAAAAAGAATATCACGATTGGGTTCTCAATTCTGGATGTGCCCCTTCCATGGTCATAGAGTGGATACAGTGCGCAGGAGAAGCTCGAACTGTGATTGCCACAAAGCATATCCTAGAAGGGAAGGAATCTTGATATGAAAGAAAATTCATTCATTTCCACAGAGGTTCCCAAGATCCTGATGCGATGGATGTCAACAAATGCAAACAGAGTGTTAGACACTCTGGTTTGGAAATTAAGTGCTTCAATTGTGGAGCTGAACATCACTACAAATGTGACTGTAAACTCAAGGTGAAAACTCAACTGTCCAATGTCCGCATTGTCCTCTTGGAGGATGGCACGAAGACCACATATGTCAGAGATTGTGAAGCAAATGTGGAGGAGTGGAAGTTGTTGTGTTTTTAAAGGGGACTGATGAATCTCCTGCATCAGTCAGTCCCATTGCTATTTTGTCCACTAAATGTACTCCTATAGATGATGAATCAAATATGCAAATTCGTTCTCCTCTCGGACTCGTCATTTTACCAGACTAAAAAGCAGGAATATGGGCCTGTATCAACTCAGGCACAGAAGTCTCCCTCATCTCAGAATGAATGGTCCAGAAACTTGGGATCCCAACTTATCGGGTCAAGAGCAAGTTCAAGACCACCTCATTCACCAGAAAGGATGTGGAATGGGTCACCCACAAGGTAACCCTGAAAATGGAGATCAAGGAGCGCATTGTTTGGGTCAAGTGTTATGTGAGGCCTCTCATCAGAAAAGAACATGTCCTTCTCAGGATGCCATTCCTCAAAGAGTTCAAACCAAGAATGAACTGGGAAACTGGCAAAATAATATGCTGGGATGATGGGTATGTGTATCCTGAAGGATCTGACTATTTTGTAAAACAGGTGGTGTCTTCAGACACAGACAGTACGAAGGAATCTTCTGGCCTGTCCCCAGAAGTGGTAAAACAGGGTTCAGGTGAAACCCCCAAAGTAAAAATCAATAAAACTACTCTATCCACAGAACTCGAGGCTGCCTTGGCAAGTGGCAAAGAGGAAGTCAAACCTCCAGAAATATACAAGGAATTTGCCAAGGTGTTTGTGGAAGATGATATCCTGCTTCCTCAGCATAGGCCAGGATTAGATCACAAGATTTGACTCCATGAAGACTTCAAGCCAAAGAAAGTGATGGTATATCCGATGTCTCCTGACAAACTTAAAGTTTTAGATGAGTTCTTGGACAAGAACTTAAAATGCAAGAAGATTCGACTGTCAACTTTGCCACAGGCAGCACTGGTGTTCTTTGTAGCAAAGAAGGATGGAAAGAAGCAGTTAATTCAAGATTACCACTACCTCAATTCATTCACCATCCTGGATGTACACCTGCTGCCAAATGTGCAAGCTTTGTTCGATGAGCTTGTCAAATCCAAGTTCTAAGCCAAATTCAACATTTGTTGGGGTTTTACTAACCTCCAAGTTAAAGAAGGAGATGAGTGGAAAGGCGCCTTTATTACACCCAGAGGGCTGTTCAAGCCCACAGTAATGTTCTTTGGGCACTGCAACTCACCTCCCTCTTTTCAGAGGTATATGGACAGAACTTTTGAATCCCAATGAGGAAAACAAGTTGGATACATGGATGACATCACAATCCATGCCAAGACAAGAGAAGAACTTTGAACTTGGGTTCATGAGTTCTTGAAAATTTGTGAAAAAGAAAGTCTTTGCCTCAAGATCAGCAAATGTGTCTTCAAGGCTGAAGAAATTGAATTCCTTGGAATGATAATAGGAAAGGGGTGTATGGAAACTTTGCTGATGAAGACCAATGCCATTAGTACTTGGGAAGCCCCTGATAACCTTACTGGGCTTCGCAGGTTCCTCAGATTCTGCAACTTCTACTGCAAATTTATCCCATCCTTCTCAAGCATCACCTGACCCTTCCATGATCTAACCAAGAAAGGGGTATTGTACCAGTGGACTCTGGAACATGATGCCATGTTTGAAAAGTTAAAATCTTTGTTATGCTCCTCTCCAGTCCTCACTATCCCTGACTTCTCAAAGCCATTTTCTCTCTTCACTGATGCTTCAAAGCTCAGAACTGGGGCTGTTCTTGCCCAGAAAGGAGTTGACAATGAGTGGCATCTGTGTTCCTACCTCTCACAGTCACTGGTCAGTGCCAAACAACACTATCAGGTCTATGACCTCAAAATGTTTGTGGTTGTTTGTGCTCTCAAAGCCTTCCACTGTGAGTCAAAGTGTGGTTCAGTGGTGAAAACCAACCAAAACCAACACAAAAGACAAAAAGAATGAGTGGTGGTGTGCCTATGCAGTACCTAGATGGTAGAACCTGTTCTTTGGGAGGGTTTTTGCAAGCTACAGCACTCAAAGATGAGTGCTGAGGGTTGGGGGTGCTCCTGATGAAGAAGAAGCAGGAATGTGAGAGAATGTGATAGGGTAGACTGCTGTCAGCCTACAGAAGGATGGATGATGACTTAATTCAATGTCCTAAGCTGCGCTGAGCTCAGGGAGGGCTTGGAGCAAAGTATATTGATGATAGACAAGGATAAGCGAAGTAGACAATAGTTAGACCCTTAATAAAGTCTCAACTATCAAAGCTGCTGAATGAATTACTGAGTGATGATAAAATGCAAGCAAGAGGGGCTCTCTGATGTCTTCTTTTTTGCTATCTAAGTACAGTGATTTATATACAGTACAGGGGTGTTGCCCATGGAAAACAAGGTGCAAACACTTGGTAAGTGATTGGTAACTGATGAGTAAGGAATGTAAGTGATGGGTAATCATCCTGGAAAGCATTGGTAAGCATTGGTAA